GTCCTACCAACTGAAAAAGTTTAGTGTGTCCCGCGCGCTCATATGACCTTATGCAGTTGCGAGCGCCGTAAAACACTTACAAAAACAAACAAACAAAAACACATCTGTAGGATTCATATCGGGGCTATTTTTATTGATGACCACCCCGTCGTTGGTGTGATTCGCTTTTCCAAAAATTGTCTAAAGACGTTGGCCCTGTGAGAGTGTGCTATGTCATGCATAAAGAATAATAAAGATGTCTACTTGAATGACACCATGACGAAAATGTGTTTGGCGCTCATACGACCTTATGCAGTTGCGAGCACCGTAAAACCTCTACTAAAACTAAAAGTACATGTACACGACGCGGGGTTCCAGCACTTGTGCGATGTAGTCATCTGAACGAAGCCATCCGTTGATTCACATGAGTGGGGTTTTGATCTTTCCAGCCAGAACACACCAAACCATAGCAGTTTCGTAGTCTCTGTTCCTCATTAACAGAAGCTTATGTCCAAAATCTTACTTACACAGTACATGCTCAAGAAGGGTTGATGCTCCATATGAAACCAAAAGCTCGTGAATAAAATACCAAGGAGTATATTTACCGGTATATGGTCGCTTTTAAGGACAAGCGGGCTAAACCAAATTCGGGGGTTTCAAGGAATCTTAACCTGCACCAAAAGTGGGCATTGCCGTACTTCTGGGAGACGTTTAGTTTTTATTGTTGAGTATATTTAATTTTGTTTGGTAATCGAGAAAATTCTCTTGAAGAAGGGGCAAAATCTTTACCTTCGATTTTGTAAAAACACCCTTTTTTGGGATAGACCCCTTGTGCGACCATGATAAGTCCAAGTTTTGCGTGATATTTGAGACTGGTCTGCGTTCCAATATGTCTAAAAATATCGTAATAAAAGTTTTTTTTAAATTGCAGAGGCAATAATATTCTCCATTCAACTGATATGCAATACAAATCCGTTCCGCCAATGTTAGTATACGCCTAGAGCGAACTCACTTTTACGTTTCTTTCAGTGCACCCAATTTTGCAAAGCATGATACAGTTAATTTTGAGTGACCTTATCTCGGGCGACTCTTATCGTTGATGAAAAACGAATTTTGTCAAATGATAAAGAATGTTTTATTTAGATCCAGCTTTAAATCGGTATGCTGTATGAGTGGCTAATGCAAGGCTGTAACATGATCATTGTGGGGATACATTTTCAAGTTCATTGACACGATAAGGACCGAAATCGCTTTAAAAAAATACCAGACTGTTATCTCAAGATCAAATTAACCCACAAAGGTATGCCGTAAAGGAAACTCTACTTTCACGTCATAAATGGCCATTTACGCATTCGATTTCAAGATCAAGCAGAGCTAATGTGATGCATTTTTTTGTTCGAAAAATAGGGTAAGAAATTGAAGAAATGATAGTACATTTTCATTGAGACCTTCAAGACCATGACCTAGGCGGCTATGAGCTACCTCGTATTTTTTATATTTATTTTTTAAAATAATAAATGTACATTTTTCTATTTTTTTCTTCTGCCACTTTTGGTCTTAAATTTTTCAGTAAGAGAAAAATAATTGTTCCAGATAGGTTATCATTTCCTTTTGAACACGCGTTTAGCTCAAAATTTGGATAATATATTCAGAACGCTTTCGAAACTTTTAAAAGATAAAATTGTCTTATCTATGCCACAGGTAAGCTTGGGGAAAGAAAACGAGGAATCAAAATCCTGTCCGTACGCCTTGGGGTCATTTTGTACCGCCGGGATTGTATTCTGCACATTTTAGAATACTTCTAGTACGAAGATTTCTTTGAAAATTTCAGTATTTCTCTAAAAATCAATTTGATAGATTGCTATGCAAAGCGTACTGATCGGATTAACGAGTAAATTTCCTCTTTGGAAAGTGGGGGCTCAGAGTTCCCAACGCCGTAAGGATACGCAAGTAAAATACGACGTACGGGTAGGGTTAATTGTCATATTATTTCATGAGCTTCGAATTGTAACGTCGTATCATTTGCAATCTATCATCGTCAGTGATGGTTGGTCCCATACTTTTAGTATTGCAGCAAAGCCCGAAAGCTAAAAAAGAATGCAGACTTAAACACACACACATACACACTGATGCACACACACACACACACACACACATACACACACATACACACGCACATACACACACATCCACATACACACACTGATGCACACACACATACACACACACACACACATACACACACACACACACACACACACACACACACACACATATATATATATATATATATACATACTATAACCTTGCGTGTAAAAAAGCAACAAACCCCCGCCCAAAACAAGCAAAAAAACAAAAACAAAAACAACCCCCCCCCCAAAAAAAAAAAAAACCGTACAAAAAAAACAAGCAGGCTTTCTTCCGTCTACTCTATTATTGAGAGTGCAGTGGCGGAGCGGTTAGTGCGCTCGTCTCCGAAGCGGACAGTACGGGTTTGAGCCTCGGTTCGCACACGGATTTTTTTCGCCCCCTCTTGCCCATCCAGCAGTAATGGGTACCTGACTTCGAGTTGGGGAAGTAAAGGCGGCGTGGAAGGAACTGGCCACCCTACCACAAGATGCCGAAGGCCCAGGAAGTTGTCTCACTAAAAGCTGTTATTTTCCTCTAATATCAGGACCCTATCATTCACACAAATGTACAACACAAGAAAAAAGACAACCGGAAGAGAAAGAGTAAAATCGAAAAATCCTCAAAGAAACCTCAAAAATACGCAGACAAAAGACTAACAAAAGCAGTATTTCAAGGATGAAAAAGAATACTAAACATCAACAATTTTTCTTTATCAAAGGAAAAACTTCTTACTTTAGACTAACTGGTTTTTAATTGGTACTACAGAAAGTAGTGGAAGAAAACCCAACCTCAAAACAGACAACGAAAAGGGAAAAGTCTCTCTTTAAAACCCATGGCAAGGAAAATCTCCAACAGCTGACCCAAACAAAATTGCAAAGTAACAATTTTTTTAACCTCCCTATTCGTACGTTGTGTTTTACTATCGTATTCCAAAAAGGACATTTACTCGTTAATCTGATCCGTACGTTTTGCAGAGCAGTCTGTCAAAATGATTTTTGAGAAATACTGAAAGTTTTAAAGAGATCTTCGCTCTAGAGGTATTCCAAAATGTGAAGAATACAACCTGGGGTACAAAATGACTCCTAGGCGTACGGAGAGGTTTAAGGGAGAGGAAAAAAAGAAAATGAAAACAAGCTAAAAGCTACGTACAGTACTTCTTCTACCAAACCACTCTACTGCTCTTACCTGACTCGAGGGAAATTTCACACACAAGGTATCCTCGAAAAGCGGAGAGCTTATAAGAGGAACAACTCCCACCACGAAAGCTGGAGAAAATCGGAGTTGTCACCCCTACGAGTGGCCGGACAGAGAGGTGGGCGGGGCCCGTGGGTGAGCATTGCCAGGTCTTCCTTCCTCGGAACAGCTGCGCCATCGGGCTTCGGCGTGTAGGAGTATCGATACATAGATCTCGCGTACTTGTCATGTTTCAATGTCGTCGGCCAGTCTGGTGACGGCAAGGTGTGGGAATTGCTGGGCTTTTAGCTTCTCTCTCATCATGGTCTGTCTGTCCGATTGTCTGTCTGTCTGTCTGTCTGTCTGTCTGTCTGTCTGTCTGTCTGTCTGTCTGTCTTTCTGTCTGTCTGTCTGTCTGTCTGTCTGTTTGTCTGTCTGTCTTTCTGCCTCTGTGTGTGTCTTTCTTCTATCAGTCTGTCTTCCAGTCTCTCCGTTTCTCCCCCACCCCCAAAACCGCCTCTTTATATTTATTTTACTGCCATCCTCTCTCCCTCTCTCCCCCTCTCCCTCACCCCTCTGTCTCTGTCTCTGTCTCTGTCTCTGTCTCTGTCTCTGTCTCTGTCTCTGTCTCTCTCTCTCTCTGTGTCTCTCTCTCTCTCTCTCTCTCTC